CGCACCCCAGAAACACCGAGACCAGCTTTTAAAGGCAACGGAGCGAGAAGCGGCAGGATCTCGTTCCTCGCCGACTTCCCTGTGTCCATCTTCCTGCTTTAACCGTGTTCCAAGCCGAGGCACCCACTCCCTAGGTGGACGGTCCAGGTGACCCGGTGACGCAGCAGAGAGAAAGACGAGGGAGGTAGACGGGAAAGATCTTTCTCCAGCCTGAACCCCACAATGAGAGCTCGGGCAACGGCTACAAGGAGTGAGCCCGGCGTCTCTAGGAGCAATCAAACTGCCCCTGGATGCTCAGAGGCCAAGAAGCCAGGAAAGGAGTCTATAAGGGGATGGGGATTATAACAAGGCGCCAAAGAGGCCTCCTTGGTGCCGCTTCCAAGGTTCAGAGCCACCCGAGGCTTCTGGACAGACCAGAGAGTGCCCAGGAGCCCCCAGGGTGCTGTACAGCAGCAGTAAAGGCTGAGCACCGCCCCACGCCAGGCGCTATGCAGGACAGGAGTCCTTCTCTGCTCGTCTCAACACTTGCAAAGCACTGATTACCCTTCCACTTAAGAGATGAGGAAGCCGGGGGGTCAGGGACGTGAATGAGCCCCCAGGATCGCACAGCTCCCTGGGGCAGAGCCAGGACGCGGACCCAGATCTGGCTGAGCCCTGGCTTCTGGCGGTTCCTGCATGGAGGAGTCGTTAGGGAGCACCGGGCCCATGCCGGGCCCTGGAGGGACGCAGGGACTTGGAAAGCAGAACAGCTGACCGTCTGCCCGCCTGCCCGCACTCCAGGCTGCCTGCTCACCTGGCCTCCACTCGAGCATTTCACACGTTTGCCTAGGCCGCTTATGACCTGACATCTCGTTTCCGGGACAAACTTTGACCAAAGCATCGCTTCGATTTCTCCCCCGCGTTCTTCAGTGGCGAGCCACAGCCACTGACCCCAGGCCCAGGGGAAGGGCCAGGGGTTTACAAGCAGCGGAGGCGAGTCCTGGGACCGCGGCCACAGAGGGGAGATGGTGATACAGAAGGCTGAGCAGCCAATTTGTCCCCACCGATACCTGTAGAGCAGGCCGCCGAACAGCTTCCAAACGTGCATTTCAAGGCCACGGGGAACGTTCACCGACACAGAGCAGCTCCCGGGCCACGAAACGAGTCTGAATACACTTACCAAAACCATGCAGAGAATTCCTCTCTCATTGACTCAGAATAACGAAACAATCTAGGAAAGGTCCGAATGTCGGGAAATTTAAAAAAACACACAGTGAAAGCAGCCTGTGAGTCAAAGAAGAAATTCAGGGGAGGCGAGAAAATATTTTCAACGGAATGGAAATGAAAACAGGTGTCAAAATCTGTGGGAAGCAGCTAACACAGGGCTTAGAGGGAATTTTATGGTTTTCAGTGTGTATATATATATATACATGTATATATATGTATGTATTTTTTAAAGGTTTTGTTTTTTAAGTCTATTTATTTATTGTGTGTGTGTGTGTGTGTGTGTGTGTGTGTGTGTGTGTGTGTGGGAGAGAGAGAGAGACAGAGAGAGAGAGAGAGAGAAAGAGAACATGTGAGCAGGGGAGGGGCAGAGAGGGGGGGGGGGAGAGAGAATCCCAAGCAGGCTCTAGGCTCTCAGCACAGAGCCCATCACGGGGCTCGATCCCATGAACTGTGACATCATGACCTGAGCAGAGACCAAGAGTTGGATGCTTAACCACCTGAGTCACCCAGGCACCCCAAGATTTTGTTTTTAAGTTATCTCTACACCCAGCATGGGGCTCGCATCTACAACCCTGAGATGAACACCACACGATCCATCGACTGAAGCAGCCAAGTGCCCCTCGGTGTTTATATTTTTTTAAAAAACAAAGGTTTAAAGCCAGTAATCTAAAGAAGCTAGAGAACAGGGCGCCTGGCTGGCTCAGTGGGTTAAGCGTCCAACTTCGGCTCAGGTCATGATCTCGCGGTTTGTGGGTTCGAGCCCCGCGTCAGGCTCTGTGTTGACAGGTTGGAGCCTGGAGCCTGTTTCAGATTCCATGTCTCCTCTCTCTACCCCTCCCCGCCTCAAAAATAAATAAACATTAAAAAAAAGAAGCCACCCCAACACTTAGTGGCTTAAAACAATGATTAAAAATAATAGAATCTAGAGAGCAAATTAAACTCACTGTAAGTAGGAGACTAGAAATAAAGATGAGAGAAAATTAATGAAATGGAAAATAAACAATAGAGAAAATTATAGAATACAAAATAACAGCCCCCCAGAGACATCCATACCTTGATCCCCGGAATCTGGGAATGTGTTATAATAGACAGCAAAGGGGAATCAAGGTCACGGCTTAAATTAAGCCTGCTGCAACAGAGAGATTATCCTGGACTATTCCACTGGGCCCCGTGTAATCAATCACAAGGGTCCCTAAAGGTGGAACAAGGAGGCAGAGGTTCCGAGGGATGAGATCAGAGCAGGGCTGAGCCCCCCATCCCGGGCTCTGAAGAGGGAGGCAGGGGCCGCAAGCCAAGGAGTGCGGGCCGCCTCTAGAGGCTGGAAGAGACCGTGAGGGACTCTCCCCGGGAGCCTCCAGAAAGGAAGACAGCCCTGTAGACACCTTCATTTTAGCCCCGTGAGACCCACGTCAGACTTCTGACCTTCAGGACCATAAGGTGATACGTGGGTGTCGCTGGGCCCTAAGTCATTTCGCTACAGCGGCAACAGGAAATGAATACAAAAATCAACAAAGTCAATCATTGGTTCTTTGAAAAGATTAATAAAATAGCCAAAGCCTGGGTCACACTGATCAAGGAAAAGAAAAAGAAACACACACATACACACAAATTAGCAATACTAGGAAAGTAGAAATGTGATTACAGACCCCCTACCTACATTAAAGGATCGTAGGGGAACGTTGCAAAAAACTTCATGTCGACACATTTGATGGCTCGTGTGACTCAAACTCCTTGAAAGCCATAACTTACCAAAGCTGGCCCAAGAAGAACACAGAAAATGCAAAGACCCTCATACCTATTTTAAATAGAATTTGTAATTCAAACTCCCTCACAAAGGAAACTTGGGCCTTATTGGCCTCACCGGCGAACTATCTCAAATATTTAAGGAAGAAACAACACGATTATTACGGAAACCCTTCAGACACCAGAGGAGGAAGGAACACGTCGCAGATTGTTCTAACGAGGTAGAGCCATCTTGATACTTAAACTTGACAAGGACGTCACACGAGAGCGAGAGAGCGAGAGAGAGGGAGAGCGAGAGAGGAGATTACACTACAGACCAACATCATTCTTGAACGTGGATGCAAACCCTCACCACAATTATAAGCCCAGCAAAATACACAAAGAATAACGAAGCGTGACAAAGTGGGCTTTTTTCCAGGAATGCGAGCTTGATTTAATATTCAAAATCAATCAGTGCGATTCACTTCATTACCAGAATAAAGGATTTTTTTAAAACGGTGTCATTTCAATGGATGTGAAAAAAAACATGACCGAATTCATTCATGATAAAAAAAAAAAAAAAAAACCTTTTTTTTTTTTTCTTTTTAATTTTCAGCCATCTAAGAATACGAGGGGACATCACCGACTGGAAAAAGAAACTACGAGAAAACCTATAGCCAAGGGCTCAGGGAACGGTGAGAGCCTGGAAGCTTTTTCCCGGGGCGGGGGGCGGGAAGGAGACATTGTGTCCGCTGTCCCCGCCTTCGTTCCACCTTGAGCCGGGAGGTCCCAGCCCGTCTCTAAGTGCCAGTGTCACCATCATCCGTGCAGAAAACCCCAGGGAATCTACAGAGTGTTCACCAGGCCCGGCCTCACGGAGGGGGAGATGGCCCCAGCATTGAATGGGGCAGCCAGGAAGGCGGAACTTAGGCCACCGAGGATGCTGAGTTATTTTAAGGCCAATTGGGCCGGGGTTTCTGTGGTGGCCAGGCTTGTTCTGTTTGGGAAATCAGAAAGCGGCAATTGAAGACAGCTCCTTGGCGGGACGGCTGGGCTCCGCTAATCCCGCTCCCTGGCCCCGGATGCTTGGGCCGAGGGCAGGGGGCCCACTGCCAGGTTCTCAGGGTAGGCGCTGGAGGGGCAGGGGGACAGGGGCTGGCTGTGTGGAGGGCTTCGGCCCAGATCCCTTTCATCCCCAAGTTGCACTCCGCCCCCGCCACCCCGGGGTAGGGGAGGGACTGTTGTTCAGCCAGAGCCATTCCCACCGGGAGGGGTGAGTGAGTGGGTCTCCAGAAGGAGAGTCGGGCCCACGTGGCTGGCAGGCCGGGTCCTGCCGAGTTCACCCTGTCAGGCGCCCCTGCCTTGCCTCAGTGCCTGGATCTGAACCCAAGACCCTCACAGGCAGGCACCAGGCCTGGGGTACTTACCGGGAACCTCCACGCTCAAGGGCACTGGCCTGGGGGATGAGCACTGGTCCCGGAGTCCCCAGCTGAGGTCTGCCCTCTGTAGGAAACTGCCACTGAAGTCCCAGGAGGAGAGGGGTATCTCCCCCTCCGGCTCCCCAGGGCCCTTTCTGGGCTCCCAGTATCATAGCCCTTTTCACACCAGTGGCAAATTGGTTTCAGAGTCCAGGTCCCCTGCTCCCGGAGCTGCCCAGGGCTCCCATCTGCAGCCCAGCCCCAAATGCAAAGCCTAGCATAGACGAGGCCCATGGAAAACATGGAAAATGGTCCTCAGATTGAACCAGACTCACCCCCCCACCCCCGGCCAGTGGGCCAGCAGCCCACCCAGCGCCTAAGACAGAGGGACGCCTGGGTTTCAACTGGGACAAGGGCCCAGAGCAGATGACTCTTAATGCTGGAACCAGAACCAGAGGGAGAGTCAGGCGGCCACCCGCTCTCGGCCAGAGCCCCCACCCCTCCAGCCCAGCCCGGCAATTCTGCCCACTGGCCGCGCTGGGCCACCTCCCCCAGCCGGCCACCAGGGCCCTGTCACCACAGGAGCATCCGTGGCAGACGGTCTCCCTTTCAGCTGGCACAGCCACCGGCCGGGCTCGAACCTCCCACCTCCCCTCCAGCTCTCTCGCCCTCAGTCTGAGGGTCTGCAGGAGGACTTTGGTGACCCAGGACCATCCCTCCATCTGAAGATCCTTAATCACATCTGCCAAGTGTCTTTTGTCCTGCAAGGTAATAGACTCTCTGGGGATTAGGACGTGGACACTGGGGGGAGAGGGGGGTGCCGGGGAGAGCCACCCCGACAGCGTGGGCATTCAGTAAGGGGGTTAGAAAGGACTTACGGGGTGTTGGGGGAGTGCTGGGGGATGTGGGGGGCCTGAGGAGGCGGGGGTCTGCTCCGGACCGGCCGCTGGCAGGAAGGGGGGTTCTGGGTGACCCTCACCCACAGGGAAGGGAGCCTGGTCCTGTCCGGAGCCGGGGCTGGTGAAGCAGCCGGCACTCCTGCAGCCGGGCCGGGGAGGTTTGGTCCTTCTGTGGCCTGAACGATGTTCATGCTGTCGTCCGTGTTCAGTGATGACCCAGGGGTCTTGTCTTCGTCTTGATGATCCGTTAGCGGCCTTGTTGGATGCTGATATTCCGTGTAAGTGTCTATGTTCCACGGGAGGACAAGCTGTTTGCTCTGAAGAGGGAGGGTTCTCCGGAGAAAGGGAAGGGCTCGAATGTTCAAGAATTTTCCCGAACGCACCGCATGCTGGGATGGGGGGCTTCGGGGTGGACACGACGGATGGGCCAAGCTCTGCACTGAGGCCCCCCCCCCCAGGTCCCCTGGACTTCCTGTGGGGGTCAGGGGCCAGGCAGTCTGGGTGGACTGGAATCCTGGGTGGATGGGGCCGGAGGACATTCCCAAGACAAGAGGTTCAACGTTGGATAATACCAAGGAGGTAACCTCTTGGTACCAGCTTGTGGAGGTGGGCTCCATTCAGACAGTGCCCTCCTGAAGGGAGCTGACGCTTCCAGAGTCCAAAGAGTCTGGAACCTCCTAAGAGGGACACAGTCAAGGACAACGTTCCCGCCAACCCACCCGGCCCTGGCCTGGGGCCAGCGTGGAGGCCTCAAAGCCTTCCCAGCTCCCACAGCCTCCTCTCACGCCACCTGTCACTCCTGTGCACAACACCCACGTGCGGCACACAGGTGCGATGTCCAGGGGCAACGGCCGTGCGTAAATCCCAGGTGTGGCACACGGGCGAGGCGTGCCCTTGTCGGAATAGCTCTCGGGTGCCAACTCTGTGCGGAGCTCCGCAGGGCATTTCCATCACTTGTAAGACGTTCGCTGAGCACCTGCTGTGGCCCCAGCCCTGTGCTGCGCCCTGGGGACCCAGCGCCCCCGCTCCGTCATTAACAGGTGCTTGCGGGGGGGGGGTGCAGAGGGACCCGCACATCCAGTGCCATCCACCGGAGCCTCTGAGACAAGGGGTCAAGTCCAAGAAGCCAAGGTGCCGAAGGGGAGCCGCTGTCGTGTCATCGCTACTCAGAAACCCGTATTTTCCCTTCGCATCACCAAATGCAGCCTGGCGCCCACCTTCTTGATCTGGACTAACAGCTGGGGTCCCCTGGGTAGGCGAGGCTGGGAGTCACGTTTGTTGTGCTTTTTCCGTTATTAGTTATTTTATGTATATTTTTTTTGGTAACTTTTTAAGCACCCTACGGGAGGAAGATGAATCCTGGAGCACCGGCCAATGTCCCAGGAGCCCCCGGACGGCAGCCCGGGGGTTGGGGGCGCAGGGCGCAGCTGAGCTGCAGGAGACCAGCTTCCAAACCTGGCCTTGCTGTATAAACTAGCCTCCTGTGGCCCCTCTAACAAGTGGCCACACACTTTCGGGCTTTAAACAAATCATTCTCTCGCGGTTCTGGAGGCCGGAAGCGGGCAGGGCGGCATTCTTTCTGGAGGCTCAAAGAGAATCTGTCTCGTTACTTTCTTCCAGCTTCTAGAGACCACCTGCATTCCGTGGCTTGTGGCCTCCGCCCCCCTCGAAGCCACAGGCGTGCCACCTCCTTATCCCCCTCTGTCTCTGTCCCTCCGTGCCACTCTTTCCTTACTCTGGTCCTCCTGCCTCCTTCTGAGAAGGATCCTTGTGATGTCAAGGGCGCCCACTGGATAATTCAGGGCCATCCCTCCATCTGAAGATCCTTCATCACATCTGCAAAGCGCCTTTTGCCCTGCAAGGTAATAGACTCACAGGCTCTGGGGATTAGGACGTGGACATTGGGGGGGAGAGGGCGTGTGGGTTACCAGCCCGGCACACGGTGTGACACTGGGTAAGTCACTGCACATCGCTGGCCTCTGTCTCTCTGTCTGCCCTGACTGGGTGGGGGTCTGCAAGGATTCCCCCCCACGTACACACAGAGGCCTGAATCCCCTGTCCCACAACAGAGACTCACCCATCAGAGAACTAAATTCCGCACGGGGCTACAGATTTGCAAAACGCTTTTCTTACGTGCCAGGCACTGAGCAACGGCTTATAAAACATTTTTCAACGACTCCATCAACAATGAATAAGTAAGAACACAAACTTGTGAAATCAGCAAGCGTGACCATCCCCATTGTGGAGACAGGACCCTGAGGCTCGGAGCGGAGAGGTCACTCGACAAGGGACTGAGTCTTGGTCTCCTGGGCGCAGGAACTGTGCCCTTCGGCTCCGGGACAGTCCAGGCACACAGTGGGCGGGGGCACAGTGGGCGAGGGCCTCGTCTGCTCACTTAGAGAAGAAAGGAAGGAAATAGAAGGTCAACCAGCTGCTGTGGCAGGGACAGGGGCCTCACCTGAGCCTCCTGGTGGTTTCCCACAGCCTCACGTGACCCTCGGAACATCTCTGTCTCTCTCTCTCTCTCACACACACACACACACACACACACACACACACAGACACACACACAGACACACATGAGGTCGCTGGGGTTTCCTGCCAGGCCCCAGGGGACACACTCAGCTCTCACTGAGTTGCTGAGAGAGGCAGAGGGGCATCCTGGGAGCACAGCCAGCGCCATGCTCTCCAGGGGCTCCAGGGGTCAGCTTCATTGTCACTGTTTACCGCCCCCCCCCCCCCGTCCTAGACCCCTGGGGAGAGAAGAACTCAAACCCCCAAACAGCCAGACATAGGGGCTTTAAAACAAAGGGTCTTGGGGGGCACCTGAGTGGTTCAATCGGTTAAGCATCCAACTTCGGCTCAGGTCATGATCTCGCGGTCCGTGAGTTCCAGCCCCACGTCGGGCTCTGTGCCGACAGCTCGGAGCCCGGAGCCTGCTTCGGATTCTGCGTCTCCCTCTGTCTGCCCCTCCCCTGCTCGTGCTCTGTCTCTCTCTGTCTCAAAAATAAATTAAACATTAAAAAAAATTGTTTTTAATTAAACAGAGGGTCTTGGGTTCAAATACGGGCTCTGTCCTTTCTCAGTGCGTGGTCTCGGGCGTTTTTCAAACAATTTTTCTCATGTTTATTTTTGAGAGACAGAGAGACCCACGTGTAATGACACGTATCTACCATCGTGAGTGTCATAGGTGTGACCCAAATAAGGGACGCGCCAAAGGGACCGTTTACAGAGGCGTGGGCAGGTTCAGGGGCACCCAGAGGCTGTGACTGCGGGCAGCTACTCCCATCCGTGGAGCTGGAAGGAAAAAAAAGAGGAGGCAGTGTTTCACACGGAAGCCCGCAGGACCTACCGCTGTGGTGGGGCCTCCCGGCCAGAGTGACGGTCCCAGGGGGCACATGGGCAGTGGGAATCTGATCCCCAGCTGCTGCTTCCATTAGCCAGCCCCAACCGGCTGGGTTGCCCGTCGGGGTGGGCGCAGAACCCCGCGGTGAATGGCTCTGGGGAGAAAAGTGACAAGCGATCAGTAGTGTTCATCATGGGGCCACTCGTCAACACCTCATTGGCACCTTCAGAGTACCTAACCACTGGGGACGCTTTGGGTGAAGAGAAGAGACAAGTCCCCTCTCTCAGGGAATTTACATCCTCGTGGACAACCACAAAGAAAGAACCAATGATAGAATATAACTCCAAGTGCAAACATTAGGAAGAAAACCAAAGCAGGGTGAGGGAACAAAAAAGAAGGGGCAGCTGTTTGAGAGAGTCCAGAGAACATGCTGGAAAGTCCCAGGACACACTCAGTGCATGCACGTGCTCCAGCTGGGGCCTCTGTCCAGATGCCCTCTCCACCTTCTGGACGCCCTGGCCCGCCGCCCACGCAGAGTTTCTTGTCCCTGGACCCTGGCAAAGCCCATCAGCACACTCCCTCTCCTGGCCTCCACTCACCAGGAAGGCCTGCTGGCTCACCTCTCCCATTTTTCAAGAAATGTTTATTGATTGATTGATTGATTGATTGATTTTGAGAGAGAGAGAGAACAAGCAGGAGACCGTCAGAGAGAGTGGGAGACAGAATCCCAAGCCCACTCTGGCCTCGAACTCACGAACCGCGAGGCCACAACCTGAGCCGAAATCAAGAGTCAGCTGCTCAACCGACTGAACCCCTCCCCCCAGGTGCCCCCCAACCTGTCCCAGTTTAACGAGGGCAGGTAGCTTAGCTTCAAACAAGCACCATCTGGGGAGCCTGGGGGGCTCAGTTGGTTAAGCATCCGACTTGGGCTCGGGTCACCGTCTCACGGTTGGTGAGCTCGAGCCCGGCTTTGGGATTCTCTCTCTGCCTCTTGTGGGATTCTCTCTCTGCCCACTGCTCGCTCGTGCTCGCTCTCTCTCTCTCTCACACAAAAATTAAAAAATGAAGCGTATTAAAAACAAGCACAATCATGGGAGAGAAAGGTAGGCTTTCGTCCTGATTACAGACAGAAATATTTGCGTAGTTGCATTTCAAAACTCAAAAACCATCACTGCACCTTAAAACACAGAAGGACCAGTAACCACGTGGGGAGGCCCCAGCCTTGCGCCCTGCTCTGATGGTTCATCCTGCCAAAGAAGTGCTAGCCACCCTCACCCCTGTCCCCCTCCCTCTCCCACCAACGCAGTGTCACAAAGGAGAGGAGGTGGACCTTTGTAAACAAACGAAGGTTGAAAAGACCCCCCGTCGTCGTCAGTCCTCTGGGCTTTGGCGCCTGGGCCGCTGGATATTTCAATCAGGACAGCACTTCTCAAACTTCCCCCGAGCTTGGGAATCACCTGCGGAGCTTGTCCACACCCTGCTTTTAGGCCCCAGCCCTGGATCCTCTAAGTCTGGGGTGGGGCCTGAGAAGGTGCATTGCTCACACGTGACCCCCACGGAGCAGGTGGGGCCACCCTTGGAGAACCAGAGCCCCGGGGAGTGCAGGTGCTGCAACCGCATTTGTCAGCCCCCGTCCCTGCCCCCTCGGCCAGCCGGCAGACCCCGAGCCCCAGGGCAGGGACTTGGATCTGAGTGTCTGGGTTTTCCGCCCGGTCCGCAGCGCCGCGCACAGGCCTAGGCTCGAGGAGCGGGCGCTCGGCGGGCGTTTAGGGACCGCCGAGGGGTGGGTTCCTGGGTGGCCGGAGCGCCCCACCCGCGGCGGGGCACCGCCTACAGCCCGCGCAGCGCACCGGGGTGGGGGGTCCGCGGAGGGCGCCCCGGTCCTCCCCACCCCACCCCCGGCTCCCAGCTGGGGCGAACCCCTGCCACCAACCCACCCCCCCCACCCCC